AAAATTAAAAATAATTTCTGTAATCATTGGCAGAAGCAATGATTGTGTGCCCAAGCTAGCCAACCTCCCAATATAGATACGTCTTCCCTTTTAATAAAAAATTAATTATAAATTAAAATATAATGCATATTAGACTCTTTTTTAAATATGGATACAATGATATATTAAAAGTTATTTTTAAAAAATATTAAAAAAATAACATATTAGATTGATCCAGTTTAATCTGTGATCCAAGAGACTGTGATATCTTATAGAAAGAAAATCAAAATAAGTTATGAAAGCTAATTTCTAATAAATTTAATATTAAATGATGAAATTAAAAAATAAAATATTAAAATAAAAAAAATATGAGTCAACTCAGGTTTACATGCCAAACTTGCAACTCAAGTCATGAAATTAAAATAACCTCGTAGAAAGCAAATAAAAAAACTTATGAGGTTTAATTTTCAATTAGCTCAACATTAAATGATGAAATTTAAAAAAATCAATTAAAAATAATTAAAAAACCTAATCAACTTAGGTTAACTAGTTAAACTCGCAATTTAGATCATAAGACCAAGAAAATTTCATAAAAGAAGTTAAAGCTTTATTTTCCAATAGATTCAATATTAAAGGTTGAAATCATGAAAGAAAAAACTAAATCTATAAGATCAAGATAACTTCATGAAAAGAAAATTAAAAAGAAAATATAAAACTCAATTCTCAAATAATATAATATTGAATGACGAAATTGAAAAAAAAATCAAAAAAAAAACAGAAAAATAAACTGAGTCAACCTTGATTAACTAACTAAACCAACGACCTAGGTCATGAGATCAAAATAACTCAATGGAAAGCAAATATATATAGCTTAATTTCCAATTAACTCATGTTGAAGGATGAAATTGATAAAAGACGAATGAGAAAAAAAACCACATAAAAAATGATCCGAGTTAATATGGGTTAACTTATTAAGCTCGTGAGTTGGATTATGAGACTGGGATAACTTCAAAAAAAATATGAAGCTCTATTTCCAATAGGTCCAATATTGAAGGTTGAAATTGAGAAATGAAAAAAAAAAACACTAAGTCCATGAAATCAGAATAACTCTATATAAAGAAAATTTTAAAAAAAAATAAGAATCTTAATTATCAAATAATCTAATATTAAATGATGAAATGTATAAAAAAAAAAGTTAATGAAGGGTGAAAACAATGATTAAAAAAAATAAATTGAATCAACTTAGATCAAACTACCAAACTCGTAACTTCAATCATGAAATCGAAATAACTCCATAGCAAACAAATAAAAAAAATACAAAGTCCAATTAAAAAAGTACTAAAACAATGAACATATTTAATCTATCAAACTCGCAACTTGAGTCATGATATCAGGATAACCTAAAGGAAAAATTCAAAAACAATTATGAAACCCAATTTCCAACTAAAAGAAGCAGTTACTAATTGAATATTTTTTTTATAAACCCAAGTAAACCTGAATTAACTTGTTAAACTCATGACTTGTGTAATAAAAACATAGTAAATTCATAGAAAGCAAATAAAAAAATTATAATCTAACTTTCAAAAAATCGAAAGAATTGAATTGAAAGCTACAGGACTGAAGTGAAATTCTCGGGTAAGATAGGGGCGAATTGAAAGTTTCATTGAAACATTCATTTTAATCGCTTATACTTTTTTAAGTATAAAGCGACTAGTCCCTTGAATTTCAATACAATTTATTTTGATACCTAACTTTATTTTTTTTTCAATCCTTTTTTGTTGAGAGGAGAGCGATGGGGTCGCCAGATTTAAGCCTAAAGAGAGAAAATGGTCATTAGGGAAGATTCTGACAACTAAAAATGATTAATTTTCATGTCAAAATATTCTATATGATGAGGGAGGTTACGTTTAGTTTCTTTTACTTAGAAACAACCTAAAACAACAAATTTGATCTAGTAGAATTTTTGTTCTGGGTGGATTTTGGGTTTTCAGACAGTCTTTGTGTGGTCATGGATTGGTTTAACAAGGTTTCTATGGTGTTTTTTAGGTGTTTTTGATCAAAAATAGATTGAAAATAAGATATTTAGGTGAAAAAATAACAGACCATATTTTTCTGACCACCGTAGTGACTGGATTCTGAGTTGAAGTAGGAGACATGTCATTTTTTTTGAAATATTTAGGCCGGATGACTCGTCGTCCGCCCCCATTAAACTTTTTTTTTAAGGCCCGCACTTGGTTTTTATATTGATGAGTATTATTTATCTATGGTTTTTTCTTAATTTTATATAGATTTTTTTAATATAGATTTTTTTATAAGATTTATTATAAATGCAGCCTTGCATTTTTTTTCATATATATATATATATTTTTCAATAAATTTGTGTGTGTTGGTTTCTATTACAAATTTTATGTATTTTTCTATTACAAATTTATTTTGATAGATGAATTTATTAAACATGATCAAGTAAATTATCCGTATTGTGATGTGAGATTTCTTAATCTTTATTTTTTTCTTGGTTTTCTCAATTTTATTTTTGTTTATTGTTGATGAATTTTTTTCATTAATTTACATAATAGTTATTGGGTTATTTCATTAGATGCATGCATAAGTTCTTTTTATTTATATCTAGGATTTTTTTGCTATATATATTTGTGTGTATATGCGCGCGCAAAATCTAGTGGGAGAAATTATTTGGCAAATACTTGCCCAATAAAGTATAAAAGATTTAGGTACTCTTAGGTTGCGTTCTCTTGGGAAAAAAATTTGAGTGTGTTTGGTATTGCGGTAGCTGTTGTGGTTGTGGTTTAAAAAAAGTTGTTTTATAAAAAGTACTTTTAGTTGAGGTTGATTTGAAAAAATAGGTGTTTAGTTAAAATTATATTTAAAATTGAGGTTAAAAAAAAGTAGTTTAATGTGTTCGGTTAAAAATGCTTTTGAAATTAAGGTTATAAAATAATTTTAAAAAATATATATTAATATTGATGGTTTAAAATTTAAATATTGTAGAATTAATTACTCCTATTACATCATGAAATAAATAATACTTTATATAAAATATTTTTTATTATTCCATTAAATTATTTATAATTCCATTACATACAAAATTTATCCAATAAAAACTATAGTTTTCATAATATTTTGAGCGTGTAATAAAATTAGATAAAATATTATCAGGTATAAAATTGATATTATAGTGCGAGTGAATTTAATTCACTATATACTAATTTTTCAAGAAAAAAATATTATTTACATTACAGTACAAATTAATTTAATTTACTTTAAACTAATTTTTTTAAAAAAAAATATTAATAAAATTAACAATCTTTAAAAAAAAAGAAGTGTGTGAACTGTTCACATCTACTGTTCACGCTGATTAAAATTAGCGTGAACAGTGTGCACAAAGCAGCAAAATGCTGCTTCTTCTTTTCCTGAGTCTCGGACGCGAAAAAACATGGGACCCATATACAGTAAAATACGTTTTGTTTTTATCAAACAGGTTACATTTGTGTTTTAAAGACGCAACCTCATTGTCAAACAAGTTCTTTATCTTCTAAAATTAGTGTTTGAGGTATGTACTATACATATTTTACATATTAACTATAGATATATTAATGAATACATAAATATTTTTGCAAACATTTATTTAAGTTATTTAGATCCTTGCAGTAATAAAGAATTGATAACAATTTATTATTTTTTATTTGCTAACAGTTGATGAGACTTCACTTCTCATTTAAAAGTTGAGTTTCATATTCTTTTTATTTATTATGCCACTTTTTATTTTAAATTGCTCAAACATCTATGTTAGATGAATGTACCTTTATATTTTATAATTTAATTCTTATATAAAATTAAGATAGGAACAAGTTTTTCACATATTACTTATTTATTGCTTGAAAGCTAAATCTTATATCTTTTAGTGCTATCAGCTTTTGATTACATGCTAAGAAAGCGCTTTTTTTTTTCTTTTGTTTGATTGTCTTATAATTAAAGGAGTACGCATTTCTAGAAGTAGCATGTATCAATTAGTGAGCATCCTGTCAAGTTCGAATGAGATAACATAATACCAAAAACTCCAACAGGAAAAGATGAAATTTAAAAAAAAAAAGATTCTTAATCAATCTTTGAATAATGAAATTAAAAAGATGAATTAATTCTAAATCAATCTAATATTAAATGATAAAATAAAAATAATCAATTTTAAAAAAAATTTAAAGTAAATTTAATAAAAAACAAGAAATAAAAAGAATAACCTTTATTATTTTCAAAATTAATAAAAAAAATTATTGAAAGCAAATAAATAAAAATAATACAGCTCAATCTCTAGTTGAATAAGTGCTAAAAATTAAATTAAAAAAAATATGAGTTTAAAAGAAATCAAGCAAACCTCGATTAATCTTCAAAACTTGAATCTCTTAAATCATAAATTTAATTTCAATTAAAAAATTTAATTCTTAACTAATTTAATATTTAAAAATAAAATTAAAAAATATCAATTAAAAAAATTTATCAAAATAAAATCAAAATAACAATAAAAATATAAAAATCAACTCTAATAAGTTAAAAAACCAAAGAAGGATGATATCGTAAAAAAAACTCAATTGTAAATTTTTTCTTAAATATAAAAAAACTTGGCCCAAGACAACAAATAAATCAAACAAAACAAACTTGATTTGAGTCAATTTAAATTAAGCTGCAAAACTTATAAACAACATATGAAATTAGAATAACCCGTAAAAAATAAAATAAAAAAATTCAATTGTTAAAAAGACCTTGAAAAAGGACCTAACTTGATATGACACTCTCATTATTGAATATTTCATCTACCATCTAGCATGCTTTTATGAGACCATCTACCTTGATTGCTAAACTAAGATTTCATCTTCATCTCCTAAACATGGGGGATAAAGATCCTTCTGTATCTCAATCTATGCAAAGACGTGAGGTGATGTGCAGGATAAGGAAAACAGGAAATAATAGTACTGGAGGGAGCAGTTCCAAATACATTACTTGGGCGAGACTTACCGATAACCAGCAGTTTCATGTAGAAACAGATATATTTCTTTACAGTCAACAAAATGAAATACATAATTCAGTATTTTTCAGGACGTCAACTTCAAAGCCAAGTTCTCTGGTAAATGGTAAACGGTATATGCCAGAAATATAGCTGATGCAGAATGATACATTTTCCGGCGGTAATTAATTACAATCTCAAGCGCACCACGCTTTTTGAAGAAAGCCAATGAACACATGAAAATGTTCTCTTCAATTGATCACAGGCATGAAATATACGATCAAGTCTTTTGTTAGCCATTTCAGGGTGGCCTGTTCAGGTTGTCTTAATTGATGGAAGGTTTGTAACAATACCAGGCAATTTTTACAAATCATCATTCCCAAATTTATATATGCAGCTGAGCCATCAAAGTGCCTTCGCTGTCTCTTACCTTGTAACTGCCTAACATGTTGCTGTTGATAGATTTCAAAGGCCACAATATAGACTGACATACCAAAACAGAGTCAGTCTGTGTCTCCTGTGAACAATATATCACCCCCTTCAACTCAGAGAAGACCCAGATTTTTCAGCTGCTGAACATGCTCAGTTGGTAGTGGTGGAGGAGACCAGTCCGATCCCGTCATTTCACCATCAACATCCTCAACAACATATTCCTAACAGAGCATATTGAAGTCATTTCACAAGAGAAACAAATCATGATAAATATTTAGACCAAGAAACCTGCATGGATGCCAAAAAAGTAAATATTTGATGCAGTGACCAGCAAAAATGTTTCAAGATTGTGATGCAATGATATGCCAAAGTGAAAACATCATCCCAAGATAGATCTTCAAGCCAAGGATGCAATGTATTAAAGCAACCTTAGAAGTTTTCATTGTAAAGGACTTTCGGACCTAATGAGTTGGCAAAGATTGTTACCTTGACAACATTTTTTTTTTCCTTGAACTGACCATTACCTTAATCTAGCGAAATTTGGTATATCAATCATAATTGTGCTGAGCTTGAGAAATTCTACAGAGCCCTGAATGTTAGTGCCAGACATCTCACAAAGAAATTCACTAGGTCCTTTTGTTTGTTTTTTTTTTTTAACCATTTTTCTACTGGAGCCAATTCCCTCACAAAATTCAATTAAGATTTAGCGGGCCAAAAAGTATTACAAGTAATACTTGGTTGGTGTTGGTGACTTACTGCACCGTAGAAATTATACTGAAGCATATTAAAAAAGATATGAAAGCAGGTGACTACACTCACTTTTGTTAGCATCCTTTTTGCAAGTATATGATAATGCCGCTGCCAAATTCGTTGTCCAACCATTGTGGCCACCAACACGCTGTAGAATATGCCAATCACAGTAAATAGTCCAAGCACTATCAAAGCCATTATAAACAGTAGTGGTAACCCTGCTTCACCAGCACCTCCTAAGCAACCACATTCACCAGCTGTGCTTGCACAGCTCTCAAAGCATGTAGTACAGTCTGTCCAGATACAAAGAGTGCCAGGTAAATGACAGTCTGCACACACTCTGCAAGATTAAGGAAACAGACAGATTGCATAACTCATTATTTGATTTAATTTCTCAAATCCAATAACCAAAATACTAGGTGAAAAGGTAGGAATGAAAAAATTACGAGAAAATGTTTTAGTGTATCACATGTATTTAAAAAAAAAAAGACAAAAAAAATGAACTCCTGCCCAGAGTTTGTGTTTAATACACCACCCAAATAAACTCCAGTGCCAAACCTTGATTTGGCCCCAATTTAAACTTTAAACACCCTTCTAACAAACCAACGAGAAACTTATGGTAACAACCTGTTCTGTTTGAATAAAATTTACTTAAACATTCAAATATTAGTTTTCAATCAAACTATCAAAAAACCCCTAAGGTTTGACCTGCTCAACATTTCATCCCTCTTTTTTCTCAAATCAAACACTAAATCTATAGATGATGATGAATTATAAAAAATTAAAAAGTTACTACTGTCATATTATATTATATACTAAATGCTATCTGAAACCATTGAAAAGAAGCATATTATATTATATAGTAAATGCTATCTGAAACCATTGAAAAGAAGAGAAAAATAGTCCTTTTAAAACAAATGATATAGAGATGATAATTAATAAAAAGAGAACAAAGTGAAGTTTAGGGGTATTTTCAACAACTAAGAACATTTTAAAATTTAAATTTGGCACATTAGACTTAACAATGGTAACCTAATGCAAGGATTAAATTGTTTTTGCATTGTAAAGGTCAGGGATGTAAGGGCTTGATTTAGAAATGCAAAGATGTGAAAGTTGATTAGCCCAGACATCAAGGAGGTTTTGGTAATTTAACCAAAAACATAGGCAGAATCCAATGTCCCAGATAGGGAAAGACTACAATAATCTTTTCCTTTGTTCAATTAGATAAATTGGCGTGCAAACAAAACATAAATGAACTTTAATGTAATAAACAACAAGACCTAAAAGTTCAACATGATGCAGGATGCTATTTTTTAATTTTATGGCATAATTATTTTTATTGTAATATTCATTTAATTGTTGAGATTTACAAGAATTTATTTAATTTGGGAATCCTAATGCTAGTTGGATTCTACTAGTTAGGTAAGTTTTAATAAAAATCTTTATTCTATAAGGATTTTAGATCTATAATTAATATAAATAGGGTTGTCTAGCTTTTTTTTGGGGAATATTAATAAAATAAACATTTCGGAGTTTTCTCTACAATTCCATGCTGTAACCTTAGGGTTTGAGAACCTAGTTTTTCTTCTCTACAGTTTTGGGCTGTAAAATTGTAGGGATTGAGGAACCCTAGCTTTTACAAATGACCACAATATACATATATTGTTCCTAAGGCAAGTCAAGGATACTACACCACACATGAATTTGCTGGCGGTTGTTTGATCTCAGCTTTTGTGGGTGGGAGTACTAGCGAATACATCTAGATCAGCAAACTGAGTATTCTCTTTTAAAAATAAATCAATCAAATAGTTCCTTTATGCACAAGTAGCCAACAACATTACTAGGTTATGGTTCCAACTATGTGGCTTCTGACAAAGAAATCCAAGATACCCTGCCTTCAACATTTTTTAATTAAATGAAATCCCTCCAGAATTTAATCCAACATTTTGGTTTCAAGCCCAGATTTTTATTATTGCACCAAGATTTTTCACCTAACATTTATGGTTTTGAGCAAGATTTTTATTATTGCACCAATCAAAGGAGCCTAGCATCTAAGATGTTTTTAAATTCCTCATCTCTTCCATGAAGAGGAAGACATGTAAAAGAAAAATCAAGTCTCTTAATATATCACATTTGACAGCTCTAACATGCATTTTCCTCTTCACGTCAAGTAAACCTAACCCCACCACACAATTATAAGGATAACAATATGATAATCCAGCAGTGAGAATAATTATATCATGTGCATCAGTTGTTGCAAGAATATAGAGCAGAGTTATACCCAGGCTGGCAGCAACAAAGACATAACTCCCGACAAGGCTGAGCCAAATCATTGCGTACTCTTCGATCATAGCAAGTTATGAAGCACCCGGACAGCCCCAGCAAAGCAAAGAATAATAGTGCTCCTGTTCAACAACATTCTACCATGAAGATTCTACACAAGTATTCTGGAAAAAATAATGCAAAATAACAGACCATGCTTGAATCCTCAACATAAATCTTACATGCCCCCAAACACCAGTTAATCAAACTGTATTTTAAAATTTTAATGTTACCAATTTTTTACAGTTGAAAAGACAACTGGTATTTTTTTTCTTATAATTTTCATGATATGCTGAAATTAATGGACAAATGGTTCAGTTTCTAAATTAGCAACAGACATTCAAGCAGCCAATTACATAAAACTCCAGAACAATTTGTGTGATCTCATATAAATATGGGACAAATAATCTAACAAGAACAGCCAGATCTACTAGTCAGTTCAAGTCAGCAGCCAATTTTTATGAATAAATACCATTCAGGGTTGCAGACCACGGAGATATGCACCTTCACGCACCAAGAAAAATAAAAGATTATAAAAGAATTGATATCATAAATCAAGTTCAGTTTGATACACTTAAGATGACAATGACAGGACCATGAACAGATAAACATGGGCAAGTTGAGTATAACCCAAGTCACAAACAAAATAACTATTAATCTGTAAGAAAACCATGATACTAGAGCTGTGTGTCATAAGCATGCATTGAGAGGGATTATGATAACTATCACTTCAGGTTTTTGAGATTACCACATATGTAGTAGAAACTAAGCTCACTATCAAAGCCCCATGCGAGACGAAGCCAAGACTTTTGATAAGTGTCAATTAGGTACACCAAATATGCTAGTGAAGCAATTACCTGAACCAAATTAATATAAATAAATAACAATAGAACCTCTGACGTGAGAAGAAAGAAAAAGAACAAGAAAGGTATATATCAAAATAACCAAAAGCAGGGTACTGATGACCTACGAGCTGAACAGCCAGAAATATAAACACAATGTCTCTAGTCACAAAGAATCGAAATTTCAGAGTTCGCCATTTCCTATCAGCAGCAACGTGAACTCTCAAATGGTAAGGAGCCTTGCAGGTTGTGCAATGAGCAAATGCAAACCCTTCCTGAAAAAAATAAACAGATTGTCAAGAGAACAAAAAAGAAGATAGTAGCTCAATAGCAGAAATTCCAGGGTAAAAGGGGACAAGTGGCAGGTTAACTTGTTGCATAGATAAAATCAACAACTTATCACAAAGACATCATTTTTTTACAAACCATCAATTGGTGGCAGGAACTTGACATGAAAAGTAAAGAAAGTGAACTGCTTCATGTAATCAAACAGAGGCCAGCAAACATAACTGTGACAACCTATATAACCTGCCTCCAGATTTACCATGGAAGATCCAAGTCTGTGTGTATGAGTTCACAAGAACAAGTGCAACTGACCAGTGTAAAAAGGAAAAACAACTAAGCATACCCTATATCCAGTATGGAAGCCTCTGTTAAGGCAATCTTGGACTACCAATGCATCACATTAATCACTTAACCAACTACTTCTTGTCAAGTGTCATATACAGTTTGCTACTTTCATTCACATAATGTAAATATCAACCATAAAGGAGCAGCATTTTTTTTCTATCCAGTTCTAGGTCTATTGTCCAGTTTCATAAATTTTCTACATCTCTTTTTTTTTAAAAAAAAAAATTAAATTAAGGCTACCTTGCTGGTAATAGCCTACTTTCAAAAAATTTACCAGGTCCAAATTAACCGCATTCCATGGCAAAGACAACGAATGCAACATTAAAGGAAATAGCAATCATTCTTGAAAAAAAATACAAAAGAGAGGGAGTAAAGGATCCAAATTATTAAAATGCAAGTGGCCTCTAAGCCACAAAATTCCACCTCAAGCATCAGTGAAGAAAATGGTATGCAACAAAAGTCTGTCAATTTTTAAACCAACATGCACACATCGAAGGACATATTTATTAACTTTGAGTGCAGCAAAGGGATTTTTCAGTGACCTATCCAAACCCAAATTGGCTATTAGTCAGGTCAAAAGAATAGTCGTATCAAAAGATGTCGCAACATAGAATTCAAGCAACAATGTGGGATCCATAACACAATAACATAACCCATATCACTAAAACTGTGCAAGAAACATGACAAACATCCATACCTTCACTGCTCGCCACTGATCCAGGCATTCACGATGTACATACTTAACCGTTCCTTTGCACTTGCAAGGTGCAATAAAATCCCTACCTGATGAAACGAAAACATAATTAACTTAAGAAGTAAACACAACTAACCTGAATTTTCAAGCCAGAAATCTAAAGCTTTCGCATAAGAATTAAAAAAGAAAAACAAAGTCATACAAAAGCTACCCTGTTGCTGATCAGTAAAACCGGAAAAAAAGGAACTTTCATGATCAAATTATCGGTTCAACAACAGCTAAGCATTACAAAGATGACAATTTGAACTAAATTCAAGGCCAAGCTCACAAAACCCCAAGATCTACTATTTCTCTTCAATTTCATAATCTCTACAATCAACAGCCAACACACCAACGATGAAGTGGATAGTTCTAAAAATGCAAACAGAAACAAGCTCTAAATATTTCACAACCAAAATTCTAAATTTGAGTCAAAATTGCCATAAAAAAATTATTTTAAAAAAGGCTACAAAAATCCAAGCATCAACAATCTCTAACATCAACAGCTAACACAAATGGAACAATAACAGTAAACAACATAAAGTAGGTAAAAAATTCTGCAGTATGCAAGTAAAACCTCCACAAATTATCAAAGTGAACTAAATAAGAAACAATTTTTAACTCCTTGTACCTAACATTTTCTACATCCACAATCAAGTAAAACCTACAAATAAATTTCTAAAATGGTGAAACCTTAGCGACGACTTTTAGAGTGAGTTTCAAGCAATTAAAAGGGGGAATTACCGTCAGTTTCTAGGCAAATACGGCACTGAATTTGCTCTCCGGGACCGGCTTCAAGGTCGATCTCGGTGGGTTCGGTGATCGGAGAGGGGGGGATTAAAGGTGACGTCTCTGATCCATGATCAGCCATTGAAAATCAGAAACAGAGAAAGAGAGAGAGGGTTAGCTATTTGGTTAATTAATCAATAAAATTAACCAAAAAAAGAAGATTGATTGAGAAATTTGGGTTTTCGTTTCATCAAGGCGAAAACCCTTGATAGTTTAGTTTGGGTAATAACTGATCAAACAGGCATTAATGGTGGGATGGTATTCAGTTGGTTCCCAACAATATTCAATTCCTGTTTTCTCTTCAAACTAATCTATAAAATAAACAAATATTTATAGAAAATATGGTAAACTGCATTTTCATCCCAGTTTTTCAACGTAGAAATCTTCAATGTAGCTCTTCATGAGGCTATACGCTTAAACTACTTTCTGTATAAAAATTATTAAATTAAGATTTTTATATAATTTTATGAAATGATATCAAAAAAAAATATTAATATATTTTTGGTTAGTTTTTTTTAATAGCTAATTATTTTATTGTTGAAATGATATTAAAAATAAAAAAATATTAATATATTTTTGGTTAATTTTTTTTAATAGCTAATTATTTTATTGTTTTAAAAGTACCCTCTAATAACAAAAACTAAGTTTTTTTAAATGGTTTTTAAAATGTATATATTAAAAAGAATTAATAATTCTTTTATATGTTAATCCAAGATTTGAAAATAAACAAATTTAAATCAACCTTTGGAATTATAGTTAAATGTCTAACAAAATTTTTATTTAAGAAAAAAATAATCCATTTCCTCTCTCTCTCTCTCTCTGAACTTCACACACACACACACACACACATATATGAAATTTGAAAACAATCCACCAAAACTATGGATCCTTTAAGGATACAATTGAATAATTGGAAAACAAAGGGGGGAGGAGAGGGAGATTGAGAAAAATATAGGGATCACGGAAAGCGTGCTACCGACTGCTCCACCCTAAGCGGCACCCTGTCGGCTTACAATTTATAATTAACTACTTTTCATCTTATCATAATTTAATATTGCTGTAAAAAGGTATTTCGATAACTGATGAATTAATTATGATGTGATAAATTTTGTATAATCCTATACTCAATAATGTAACCTTGCACTCTTTACTCGGATCCAGTTTTTCTAAAATCAATTATCTGAAATGTGTGTGTTAAAAGAATTAATAATTTTTTTTATATATATTTTAAAAGTACTCTCCCTCCTCTTGGATTGCAAGTGATGTTGCTGGCTGATTTTTACTGGTGAGGTGTTTGAGAGGAGGTAGCTTTGTACCCAAAAAAAAAAGAAAGTCGTGTTGAATTCGTAGTCGTAATTTTGGGAGAATGAATGAAATAAATTGATTTTAATTTAGTGATATTATATGTTTATTTAATTTAGTTGACATGAGAAATTGTATTTGGGGAATGATTTCTAGTTGTATATGGGGTTTCATATATATAGGATGAGCTAATTAAATGCATTCTAAATCGTTGAGAAAATATAGGAAGGTGTAGGTGTGGAAATTTGAAGATCTTGATGAGTAGATAAATATGGAACCAATCAAATCATGTTATTTTATGATAATTGGCCAAAATGTTAGCTATAAAGTTTTAGGAAATTCGGGAAGTTAGCTATGGTGGCCAAGTTTAAATTGATTGTATTGAATTTGGTAGGTTGCAAATTTGGTTGTTTTGGATTCTTGTTTACATGGCTGAAAAGTTAAATTGTGAACATGAAATATTTAGAAACTGGGTTTGGTAATATAAATTTTGTGTTAATTGATGTTGTAATGGTTAAATTTATTGTGATTAGGGTGGAATTGGGATTGTTGCATGATTCGATAAGTGTGGCCAAGTTCTTGGAAAATTTATAAACTTTAAATTCTAGGATTAGGTGTGTGAATTAAATTGAAGAGGTAAAAGTCCCAAGTGAAGAATTTATTTTGATGGAATAAAAAGTGAATTATGGATTTTTTTTAATAATTGATTGATATTTGCAATTTATGAAATTATGTGAAATTGTAAAAAGTAAATAATAATCGATTAATATTAATTTGGGTGTTGAATGTGAAATTATGTGTTGGATTGAATTGATTGTTAGATAAATAATTGAATATATTTAAACGAATATTAACGGTTATTGTTAGGAATTGTAGGAGAAGCATTCAAAATGAAATTTGATCTATCAGGAGCTTATACAACAAAAGCTCAAGGAAAAGGGCGACTTCTTTACCTCTTTAATTGTTAAAATTGCTTTCGTAATATTATAATTCAATAAAAATTATATATTTATTGTATAATTGTGTATATTGAGAAACATTATGCTTTCATGACAAGAAAAAATAACATCACCGGAATTATGCCTCCAAGACATCAAAATAATATCAGGAAAAAAATATGCCTTCAAAATAAAAAAATCATACCATATAAATTATGCCTTCAGGGCAAGAAAAATAATACATGTGAATTAAATATTGTGTGAATTATGCCTACCGGAATGAAATAGTTATGTAAATTATACCTACAAGGCATGAAATTAATGTTATGTAAATTATGCTTGTAGGATAGGAAAATAATATGATGTAAATTATATCTTTTAAGTAGTAGATTGATATTATACAAACTATACCGTTCACGCATTGTAATAAAATTGAGTGAAAAAAAAAAATAAACCATCTAGATGGTGACTAAGTGGTAAGAATTTGGAATCAAGGGGTTTGCTCCCTCTGTGGTCTCAAGTTCGAGTCCTTGGTTGCTCATATGATGGCCACTGGAGGCTTACATGGTCGTTAACTTCAGGGCCCGTGGGATTAGTCGTGGTGCGCGCAAGCTGGTCCGGACACCCACGTTAATCTAAAAAAAAAAATAACAGGAGGAGACCATATACCCCAAATTATATTGGATGAAGTCAAATGTACGGGGTCAGGAAACATATATGAAAAGAAATATGTTTTCATGTCAGGAAATTAATAATTTGCAAATTAAATAGATCATAGTGGCAGAATTTAATATGTAAAATTAAAATTAACCACAATTGTAGGATTTAATTAAATGGGCATAAAAACAGGATTTAATTCATGAAAACAAAATAAAATTAACAACAATAGTGAGATTTAATTAAATGGACTGTAATAATAAAATTTATATTGTGCAAATTAAATTGACCACAATAACATAATTTAATTTATAAGAATTAAGTGGAACATAATGGTAGAGTTTAATATGTTGAAATTAATCACAATGGTGGATTTAACTAAATGGATCACAACGAAAGTATGTAAGATGCAAAAATTAAATTGACAATATGTGATCTTTAAGTTTATTGTAACAGTGGGATTTAATATGTAAAATTAAAATTGGTTGCAATGCAGGCCTAAATTGAAATATATATTTGAATGTATCGTAAATGGGTGGAATGAACATTTATAGATAAGGCAAAAATAGGTATAAAACATATCAAGAATCGAAGAAATATACGGATAAGTTATAGTTGGACCAAAAAATCTTGAACTTGAGAAAGAAATAATATAGATGAGCTACAATGAGCATGGAAGAGGATTGAAAATTGATATTGGTGAAGCCAAAAATGATATAACAAGCATTAAAGTGAATTAACAAAATTAATTAACCGAAAATAATGTATTGGATATTTGTAAAGGACTAAATGTGGTTGATGTACTCAAAGTAGTATTTACCAACATTGAAAGTATTAAATGGGTTGATGAACCCATAATTAAACTAAAGTATGACTTATGGGTATGAAAGAGATAATAAATCCTAAATTGATTATAGAGTATGACTTAAGATTATTTGTAATAATATTATGAAAGTGATTAAGTTAGAACATAAACAAGGATAATTACGAGGATGTTATAAATTCGATCAATTCAAAAACATAAATGATGATTGTGACAAGATGAGTTAATAGAAATGAAGGAATTATTATTAATATGATGATAATGCTTATAAGGAAGAGAGAAGTGGGAAGATGCAAATAAATTTTCTCATTGGATAAGGATGATCATGATCATTGTATATTTATCTTCATTTGAATATTGGGATTGAAATAAATCCTTTGATATTATAAATATATTTATTTTACAATTTACATGTAATATGTAGGTACTTCTTAGTAGTCATCTTGACCTTAACAGTTTATTTTATAGTTTTTTGTTGCAATATTATCTAGATATAACTCTAAAATAAGTTGTAATATGTAGATTCCGGTTGTGTAACCTTAAAGTAAAATAATGCAATCTTGTATAGAAACAAATGGTTATCTTAATGTGGATAATTTAATTTAAGTAAGTATCAATTATGTAATCTTTATGATTGGAAATGTTTGGTATGTTATAATATTTGGTGGAAATGATGGATGATGGCCAAATAGCATTCTTATGTAAGTGTGAAATGATAGGAGCTAAATATGGATTATATTGTTGTTTATGTTAACAATACAAAATTTGTATTTAGATAGCGGTTTTCTATTAGAGAAGCTCTGCCAAATTTTATTAAAATGAATGAATTTATTATTTAAATGGAAATTCTTACAATGTTGAGATGCATACACACATCAATTTGAATTTGTTTTGTTATTTTATATATATATTATGGTTGAAAATAATAATATTTTGAGAAAATTGATTTTTTTTTGTTTTCTAGGTGAATCAATAGCTTAAACATGGATTAGAGAATAACTTACATGATTCATATTTTTTAAATTTGAATAGCAGATATGTTGATCGAAAAGATAAGAGGAAAAGAGTATTTCATCGGTTATGTTAGAAATTTGCATAAATTTCATGTATTAAAATATACTAAAATAGTAATAAAATTATAATAATAAATTTGACTGAAAGATAAGATGGAAACTTTTTTGGAGTGTTTTTTATGTGATCAAGTTTTTTTTTTATTATCAATGACATTTAAATCTTGTTTTGGATGGAAAGATATTGATCTAGATCTAACTATTAATAGATCTAACCATTAATAAAAGGATTCATGAATATAAAGAGTACTTAAAGCGACTTTCCACCTTTTTTTGCAATCAAATTTATTATTGTATCTTTTTCACTACTTTAACATATTTTAATATATGAAATTTATGTGTATAAAGATAATTGAAATCTGTGCTATCAAATATCATCTATAAGCTATTGGTATTTTCAAAACATCTTTAAGTGATTTTTTTTTTATTCATTGATTTTTAACATGTTCGAGAAACACTTAACATGTATTGGAAACATAAAATCAAATATCATCTCGGATACAAACTTGATACATATATGTAAGGAATTTTAAAGAATTCATACTTCATAGGATGACTTCTATATCAAATAATATTAATGCTTTTAAAAACAA